GCACAACTCTAACGACCCTGGGGAAGGTGAACGACTGAACAATTCTTGAGGGGAGCTAAGAAAATCTAATAATTGACAAAGGACTTTGAAGACTGGTAAGACCCAATTTTGCTTGCTTCTCAACACCTAAAGCTGCACTAATCAACATGTTTTATTAATTAATAACTATGTTAAATGTGAATAAACTAAGTGTGTTGAACCCAGAGAGAGGAAGCTACATTTTCCAACAGCTGTACAGAGCTTAGTTTGAGCTGCAGCAAAATAGCTCTGATCAACCTGCCGTCTACAACCCTCTCAGCAACATACGGCAGGCAGACACAGTTTGTGGCTAGCTGGTGAACATAGCAGAGCATTTAGCAGCTAAAGAGCCACATGTTTCCCTCAGGAGCTGGTTGAGACCAAAACAGAGCTAATAAAGAATGAATACTGGACCTACATCAGCCAGGTGGCCAGAAATGGGACTCCAAATAGAGCGACAACCTCAGAGGGGTGAAAGATGAAGCCATCGCCAAAGTGCCTCTGACTGTAGTTCCTCAAATGGCCACTTGAGGCTGACGACAGAGGCAAGTCTAGACTCATAGACCCTCCATGTTAAAATGTCCAATTTTACAGCAGAGATAACCATCTTTAAAGCCTGATACAAAAAACTGTTTTTGTTTCTATGTCCGCGTTCGTTATTAAGGCTTAAAGTTAAGCAAATTTGAAGGCGTTGATTTACAGGCTGTCTACGAGGCATCGCAACCTCTGGCTCCTTAACAAAGCAAGATGGCGACAACCAAAATGCCAAATTTGAGGCTTTCACACGGGAGTCCACAAACCAGTGGGTGACATCACCGTCGCTACATCCATCATTTCATACAGTCTATGCTCAAAATTAGTGCTCATGTTGCTCCATGTCTGCTGGATATTATATAGACAACTGTTTGCTTGATGAACTTTATAAAGTCATACTAATATCGTGATGTTGTGTGATTAGAGCCTGTCGCAAGCAATCTATTAATGCAAGTTTAAAGACCAACTACACATCACTCCAAACAACATAGTCAGAGGAGTTGCTGAGTTTAAATCCGAGAGCACATTTTAGCAAACAGTGACACCAACAGCTCGGATGGCTTCCAAGGGTATGTATATAATATACGTATTTGGAATTGACCTTTTCCAATATGCATTTTCTTTTCACAACACGACACAAACACCACAATCAACAGCTGGCATCGGATAGTAATATAACATCGGCGCGACATTGAGCTCTTGCGTCGGCCAGACTTAAAATTTTGGGTGGAATAAAACTCAGGTTGACAATATTTTCAGTGTCTAACAATGTTACGTTTTGCAGATGTTGAGTTTTTTTCTCCAAACCTTAAAACTAAAAGTAGTTATTCTACATCAAGATGACGTTAGCATGAGATATTTGGAAGACATTGGATGTTGGTTACCTTACAGCACAAGTTAACCAACAAAATATCAATGTCGTCTATCGTCCTTATCTTTACGTCAAATTAACGTTAGCATTAGAAATTTGGTCACACGACGTCACAACCTAAATTAAACCAAATGTCGTCTAGCGCCCCCGGTGGCCAGCTGGGACAGCTCAACAAAATACACTAAGCCCAATGCACAAATACAGGAACAACACAAAGCAGAAAAGAACACCACTCAACACTCTGAGGGAGGGGAGGGAAAGGTTCAGGGAAACTATAATGTTTAAATACAAAATTTTGTTTTAATTAGAAGCAGAAATGCTTCCAGAATTTAAGCCAATACATATCTTTACTGAGCCCTGTGTGGAGTATTTAAGTCTTTCAAGCCTGAGATGCTGGTTACCAAAAATAGAGCAGTAAAATTACAGTTCAGTGAAACACATCATATTTAACAGCAGAGTATCTTGCAGACCTGTATCTTGTATGATTGTGGGGAATTCATGCCCATCAAACTAAAGACTTAGTTCGTACCACAATTTTAAAAATAGATTGTCACATTCTGGTTCACGGGAAACGATTAATAATTTGTATGTCGCTTTTTTATCATTAATTTTGGGGTGTTCAAATTAGAGTGATATTATTGCTGCCAGCATCTTTCCTATCCTTACACGAATACATACCAAAAAGGAAACTTGTGTGTTGGCCTTTATGTCAACTAAATATTTTGACATATCCAGCTTTATTTCTAATCTGAAGCCACAGACTATACGAGCTCTCCTCTCTGTAAAAGTTGTAGTGGAAGTTCTGACAAGGACTTAAAGAATGGCAACAAATGTGGTTTCTCAGGAAGACAGACACATTCTCCCTTTAGTGGCCATAAAGAAGACAAAGCTTTTTACAGTATCAACAGACGCAAGACGTGACCTTTTGCCCCAAAGGGCCAAAAGGTGAGAGCTCTGGGAGCGGAGGCCTGGTTTCAGCAGTCTGCCGGCAGACGAGACGTATGTCCTCCGCACCGCATTCCTTCCCATCTTAGATCACTGAACAGCTCTCTCCGGCTTTCTGCCTTCAGTCCCTTCCAACCCAAAGCAATATAAGTCTTTATTTTTGCCTGGATGGCACCTTATAAACGAACCAAAATAAACCGGGTGGTACAAGAGTAATAAGCTCAGCGAGCTTCCAGTGCGGCTTCAGCTGGAGCTTTTGTGCAGGTGCATGAGTTTGAAATTCAGATTAGTCTGATGGGGCTGGAGGTTAAATAGTCAAGGAAGGATTTCCTACTTCCATTCAAATGAGATTCTCAAAAAAAAAGAGAAGCCATCGTGAGAAAAGGTTCAGAGAAGTCTGCTCTGGAAATACATGTGGTGAATAAAGGAATAAGCCCTATGTAACCTGCGGCTGTGCCTTTTATATTTGGGGATGACTGTGCTGCTGAGTGAACTGGCTGCAACACAAGCCACTTCTGATTTCATATTCATGACTTCCGAGAGGAGTGGGGTAAAAATAAACAAAACAACCAGCAAGTAAGGAGGGTATAGCTGATGGAAGCAAGGCCCGTATACTAACTGTCACATCCAGAAAGTCAGATCTCATCTTGCTCAGAGTATTGAGGAAGAGCGAGGTCATCCTCCGCAGCAAACACTGACTCATCTCACACCCACACGCAAGCACACAAATTGAAATAAGAAATCTTGCTTGCACTCAGAGATCTAATGGCTTCATAGTACAAACGCTGCCTTAGTTATCGAGCAATGTGCACAACCTCAATAGCCCCGTGAGGACACACAGGGACACCAGCTAAGAGCCTTTGGAACAGTGGCCTACAAACGGCCGGGCTCTACTTCCCTAAAGCAAACTGCAAAACACGTCACTTTTCTAAAGGAATAATGACAGCATGAACAAATGGAGCCTGGAAGCATCACAGTGGCCCTGCCTTTTCAGACAAGTCATGTCCTCTAAACAGAAGCCCCTTCACACAGCCCTGCCAAGGACATACATGAGTGTAGAGCGCCCTCTAGGGGACGGGACTCTGAGCTGATTGGACAAGAGCAGTCAAGCATACCAGTGCAGCCAGACACATCAAAGCTCACCCTATGCAAATGTAGCTTGAAAATAGAAATAGTTAACAAATGTGACTTTTGATATGCAAATGCTGCACAAATTCACAATCCAAGCATGTTTTCTTTCTGTTTATATGTCTTTTGTCATGCAAATGTATCATTTATATTCATATAAAGTGAAACACTGAGACAAGATGCCTTTGTGGTTCATCTTTTATGTGAGTCAGCTGTCTTGAGATTAAGTAAACAGTATGTGACCCCGGTAAAGATCTTGTTTCAGGGGGCATTTTTGAATCATCAGAAAAGGCAGAGTTCTTGCCATGCCGCAGTGACAAGTGTTGTGGTGCGGAGTCAATGTGGCCGACAGACGTGTGCTCATCTCAGCCCGGAGAGAAGACAAGCTGCCCGGAGTCGGGCTCTGCTGCAGCGAGGGAGATATATGTCCAGGAGGTCACGCAGGTCGAACGTGGAAGCCACCGCAGTTCATCATTTTTAGATGTCACACACTGTCTTGGAGCCTTGAATGCTTTTGAGGATAGAGTTGTGCTTGTTTACAAAGAGGGCCAAGCAGCTTTCAAAATTCATCATCCATCATAAAAGGTACCCGATATATTACGTCAGTGTCACAAGCTCTGGGTGGAAGACAAAAAAATCGGATGATTTGACTGATGGTACATCAGCGTGTTGCGGCTGGACCATCAAATATTAATCCTTCCAAAATAAGTTGAGTCTGGTGCCAGTGGATAATGAGAATGTAAATTGCCAGAAATCCCCCCAAAATACACTATTAACCCTCCCTCACAGACCCAACTACTTTCCCAGGCCATCACCGGAACAAAGAATGTTGTCGTGCTCAATTTTCCTGGTAAATAGGGTTTTAAAAATTTACATTCAAAGACGCTTCCGCAACTTAATGTTTAGCAACAAACAATTATTCTAAACAGATAAACAAACCGAGTGTACTAAATACAGAAGATTACACCATCTGCACTGAATTCCCTTTAAATGCCCATTTGGTTAATTAAACTTTGTGAGTAATCAAACAGCTGAAAAGCAACAAAAGGTCACATTCTCAGAGGGAACAGTACCCCGGCTTCTCACTCCCACACTGGATATCTACTACCAAATACTGTGCAGCGTTCACGGACTAAAACAAGAAGAAGAATGCACAGCATAACAAGGTTTGGATTGTCGATCAATCATAAAGGAACAGGCTTGTTCGTCTAATAAATATGCCACTTAAATGAGAACTGCGGTGTAAAATAAATGGCGTTTTGATTATATTATTCTAATGAGCACAAGTCACATATCAAATATCCACAGTGTGTTGTCACCCGGCAGTTTCATCAACCTGGTTTCCATTACATGGCCCAACAGGGACAGTGAGAGCTCCCTCTCAACATAATGCATGGCTCACGCATGCAGTTGCCAACAGAAGTCAACTTGTCATCTGAGGCCCTCTTGTGTGGAAAAGTGGCAAATGTTGGTGCGGCTGTGGGAGTCAAATAAAACTTCAACCTTTGAGTTTGTTTTTTGTATTGTTTTTTTTTGTTTTTTTTCGCAGACAGTGATTTTAATTTCAGAAAATCACAAGTTCATACACCTGCCATTTTCACTAGAAGTTAAATGCAAGGGTTTCAGAACAGAACAGGCTTCAACGTCTGTTACATGTCAAAGAGCTGCAGAACAGAAACATATTGGTATCGTGTCAAATACAGATATATATATATTTATATATATATATATATTTATAAAAAAAATCTTTCTTACCTTGTGACACTACTTTTAGACTACAGCCACAGCTCAATATTTAGTCAACTGCATGATATTTTTTAATGAACCTGCTAAATTTGACTAACAAACTCAAAAATGTGGCTTCTCTTTGACTAGGTATTAGTTACAGAACATGCCTTCATACACACATCTTGCCGTTTACTTCTGTGATCAGTCATTTGAACTTAAAACTACTGGGGCTCTTGTACAGCCTCTGCGTGGCGTCATGCTTCCCTCTTCGAGCCCACTCAAGCTGGAACACGTCGAACATAAAAGTCATTGTCAAAGTAACTTTATTAAAGGCGGGTAACTGTGGTCTTGTAGTCTTTTAACTATCTATTCAGTGCTTGACTGCAGGGACATTTTCTTTTTGAATGAGCTATGTAATAAAGTCCAATCTTGCTCTTGCAGACGATACTGTTGATGTGTGAAGTGAGCCTCTTGATGATTTTACACGATATTTCTAAGAGAGTAAGGTTTAAGACAGAGGGTCGAAACAATCCATTGCGATTAAGTGCTGTAGGTTTGTCCTTCTGGTGGTTGTGGAAGCTTCATATTATCTTTGGACATCATTAGACGCCTTAACTCTTGAAGAACAATTTTAATGCTATAAGAATTCTGCCATTTTGCTAAACATGGTATGCTACGTGAATCCACCTGTGAGAGGAGACAAAACAGAAAACAGCGAATCAGTCATTGTGACAGGGCGGCTGACAGTGAGTTATCACATCTGAGCGTCGCGAAACTGCAACGTGAAAGAATTCCTGAGTGATAAGACTGAGCAGCGGTCATACATAACCTTGTCAGACTTGCGATGACACTTACCATCCCGTTGGAATTATTTATCCCATTCATGCTAATTTTTGTTACAAATCTAACAGTCGGGGCTGCCTCTGGGTATCTAGATCCACATTCCAGTTTCAGACTGTATATCCTGTTCTCATAATTGGTCTGAAAAAGAAACAAAGACGATGCAATTAACAAATTAACATTGATCACAGCGTCTGTAATAGTTGACAGTGTCTGCATTGGAATCCACAGGCTGAGTTTGCTCTGCTTACTCTTGCTGGTCCAATGATCATGCCTGTCCACCGTGTGAGAGTCATGTCTTCGTCATCCTCGAGGCCCCAGCTGACTGTGCCGTCGCCTTCGCCCTTCTGCCCTTCTTCAAGCTCCTCCAACAAGCGAAAATTGCGTGGAACTCTAACTCCTGAAATAATGATTAAAAACAAAAAGAGTCTGAATTACATCAATTTACAAGGTGTTTGCAGGATTTATACATACATTACAAAAGTACTGCCTCTCGATTGTCACTTGCGGCCCACTGGAAGCGTGTGGGTGTGTATTTATCTGCAAAGACTCTGCCCTCTCTGCCTGTATTTTCTTATTATTTTGCTATGTTAATGACGTTCCTGGGCACAGCGAGCAGGCGATGTCAGGACTTTATAAAAAGGTAGTGACCAGGTGTCGAGAGGAAGAGGAAACTACAAAAATTGCGGACACAGCACTGAAGAAAATTGGCCGATTGATGCCGATGTTAACACTTATATTTTCATCACTAATAAAATGCAGGGAATATGGTGTTTTACTTAGAAATGATGTCCTTGTGTTACTTTTTGCACTATAACCTACCTCTGTTAAACTGGCAATAATAAGAACAACTCTGGTACTGTGAACATACATGTCAATGTCTTAATTCATATAGACTTTGTATGATTATTTTATTTCCCAGAGGTTTACTGCCTTTTTGCACATCATATTTTTGATTTGTGTTCAAATTGTTCATATGCTGCTTGTTCCACACAATTTCTGATAATAAAAGTATCTGAAAATAGTAAAATGTTCTTCCTTCAATTTATATCTTTGTAACGAGTGTTTGAACTATATTTAAGTCATCAAAAGCAGGTATTTCGGGGGTTTTTAAATTGAAAAACATAAAAATTTAATCGGCCGATATATCGGGTTTTTTTTTTTTAATTCCATAATATCGGAATCGGCCCCAAAAAATCCATATCAGTCAGGCCCTAGTTTAAAACATATGTCTGATATTGTATATTTTTCTTACTGTTGACATATTCCACAAAAAGACCAAAACCAACTATTAACTGACCCTAACAACAAGTGTTGTGTGGAGCCAAAGCCTGATAAACTGGTGGCTTATAACTCTGCACCATAGACCTCCATTGTTGTTTAAAAATATATAGATATGTTAAAAACATCAGTGAGCCACATTGTGGGTGACATTGATGGTTCCAGTTCAAATGTGAGGACTTTTACGCATCTGAAATTGTATTAACACCATTATATTCAGGCTTTGGTTGCTTTGACCAAACAAGCAATTTTAAGATTTCACGATGGAAGACTGTGACGGGCACTATTTTTTCCTATTTTGACTTTCTATAGACCAAAAGTTTCATTGATTAAAGGAAAAAGTGATTTGCAGATCAATCAATACAGTAAATAAAGCTGTAACTACTTTGACAATTAATTGTTGCATTAAATTATCAAGGAAAAATCTGTTATATCTTTTTAGTTTAGACTGATAAAACAATTTTATGACAAAATTGTGACATTGAGAAGTTATGACAGAATGTTTTTGTAATTCATTAACAATCATCAGCTCCAGACCTAGTTGTAAACATTTACTCGCAGCCATAAACAGTTTTAAATTGACAGTCTTCCTCTGAAATAGAGCCGCCACATCATTATCAAAGTGTTTTGTCACTGTCGGTGCTCCAACTGTGCATCCTTTCATGAACGCTGATGCAGACACTCATTCCTCTTTCCGATCATAAAAAAGCAATGCATTCAAATGAGTGAGAGTGTTAAACGTGTGCAAGACGAGACTGGTTGATACAAGAAATGACTCAATAGATTGATACGCGACACACACGTGGCCACAGCGCACATCACATCCTGCTCTACCTGCTGTGGAGCTGCATCTAATTTGATACCTTTGTTCACAGGACATTTATTTAGGATATGTGATGCTGGTGAACATTTAAGGCTAATATAAAAAGTGCATTCTTGTTAACTGTTTGGAAACAGTCATGCAATTTGGAGCACATGCAAACTACACTGCAGGTTTTTTATAAACGATTCAAACATATAGTCGTCTTATGGCCAACATTTTAACAGCTGACTTGATAAGTAACATCATTCAAAACCAGTCAGTCAGAGCGCGAAGCTACTGGGAAAATGTTCTCAGAAAACGGTTCAGACGTTGGCATTAAACACACAGTCTGACAAGCACTCACAGCGATCTAAATGATGAACCACTTACAGCTCATGACTGGAGGAGTGGTAGAGGTTGAGGGGACAGCACTTAAGTAAAACTACTGCTATTCATAATCACGTTGAAGACAAATTCACAGAAGGGGAAGTGAAAGGAGCGTTTTAAGAAGGCCCCGTGACTGAGGCAGAGGACACGATGAAAATTCAAATTTTCCCTTCCGTTTTACGGAATTGGTTTTACCTCCAATCTCAAACGACATTCATCACAGTAAGCTTTCACAAACCTCTTTTTAAAATCAATATTTCACATCTGGTGTGCAGTGGCCACAATGAAGGATTGACTCTTAAGTGGCTCTCAACAAAAAGTTGTCCCAAGATTTCGGTCCGTTATCAACATTAAAACACCAGTAAAGGGAGCAATGTTAGCAGCTAATTTTAGCTCACCACAGCAGTACTGCTATCAGCATATATGTCAGCTGCTAAGTAACAAGAAACTGCAGTACAGAAATGCTTAGGATACTTGGGCCGCATCTATCTAACAATCGGCCTGTTAACATGATCAGTTAGCCTGCTCATCAGTTTCTCAGCTAATCGAATAATTGTGTGGCCTTTAATAAGGTCCAAAAACAGTGACGAATTTCCTAGAGCCCAAAATAACATCGGCAAATTGCTTTTTTGTGCGAAACTCAAATACCAATTGTCTTAATGTGATGTAAGACAGAAAAAGCAGCTCACATTTGAGAAGCTGGAACCCTCAAATGTGCTGTGTTTTTGCTTTACAAATGACAATCACTTGATCGACATAAAAACACTTGCCCATTTATTTTCTGTCCATGAACTAATCATTCATAACGATATCAAAATGTCCAGTAAAGTTTGCTATTAAATATCATACTGCTAATGTAGTGTTTTTCAAAGTGTACGTGGTCTTGGTTACATCTCCTCAATAATCAAATTTTAGAGGATCCTTATTCTAATCACTTTTTAAACTTGCAAATATCTATATTGGTATAAAAGCAAAGTAGCTGCACATTTCAAGGAAATTAATATCTCACAGAATCAAGTTGCTGATCTTGTGTGTATCAATTAATGTGCAAATTTGCTTTGTAGAGGCCACTACTGTCCTACACAATAAAAATCAGTGTGGTCAGGATCAGCCTCAGTCTGTGCCTCTCATGTATGTTCATTTCTGACTGGTTTAATTTTCATTTTCCTCCATTACTGTGGTTGTCCTAGCCTTTCCTGTCCTCTTTGGGTCCTTAAAATTGTTATTAATAGGAATGCAATGCTGATTTTCCTGCAAAAATATCTGAAACAAATGCAAATGACGTTCAATGGGGACAAAGTATTAATATTTCAATCGAAGTAGTAACACAAAAGAGGCAGAGATTTGGGGTATGTCAGGAATATTAGCATAATACTGACAGTCTCAAAGCACAAGGTGCAGGTTACTAAAAATCTAAATAATAATCACATTAAAAGAGATATGATTGTTTTTTTTTAAGGTGTCTCTATGCTCCTGAATCAGCAGCAGGTCGCGCCAACTTAATCTAAGGTAACAGTAGTTTCGTTTATGAAGTTACTTCCCGTTAAAACTATTTGTAATTACATACCGGTGTGGTATAGCTAAACTGACACAGAAGAAACTCATTTAACCCCAATAAAAAATGTAATCTTATCAATATTTGTTTTGTTATTCAATAATTATCAAAGAGTTTATTTCCTAAGTTTGACAACAACGCTTCCTGCTGACTGCTAAAGCAGGCACCGGCTCCGACTACTTGCTGAAACAAAGTGTGCCAACTACAGCGTAACGTTTCAACCATCTGCTTCCTCTCCGTACCCTTCACTCGACAATAGGCAAACCTCTACCTTATTAAAAGACCCCTGGTTATTTCCTGCATCTATGCCTAGAGTTTAACAGTGGAAACCATATTAAAATTTGATAATAACGCTGGCAAGTGAAGTGCTGATCAAAGCAGCAGCAGCAGCAGCAGGACTGGTCCCTTCATTAAAATGTTACCGTCCCGTTATGTTGTTACTATATGAGGTGTGTCACAGGCAAGCTATCAAAATTTCCACGTTAAAATTGTCGCTGTTAAAATTATTGCAGCTTAACGGCTGTCGGGCCACTCAAATGACTTCAGCCCCGATAGATGATGAGAATAATTACGTTTATTATGATCAATAAGTAGCTAGTAGCATAACGGGATCAAGACTGCCTCGCGGTGTTGGAATATTCTAGTGGCTAGGTTAGCTTAGCTAGCTAGCACTGTCTGCGGTTGTTTACAATCCCCATTTTAACACAAATTTACACACCTTATTAAACATCTATATCGCGTTATATAATATGTGGGGTTTTCCTTTATAACACACAAAACAAATTCTTCCTATTTGGATGCTTATTTCAAAACACCTTGAGCTATTTTAGCTAACTCACGGGGCAAGCTATCCGCTCGCGTACGCTACGTTAGCCAACAGAGTGGCTCCGTGAAATAGATGGCACCCGTGAAGATCATTGCTCTACCGAGAGCAGATATATAAATGAACCGGCTACAATTAAGAGCGATTTTATCAAACACACGTAAGTTAGCAAGTTGCCACGTTAGGTGGCTGAGATGACAGAGCGGCCGCGGCTTCGCCCACACTTTGTGTCGCTGTGGATGTTTAGTTTGAAGGCACACAAACCTGAGGTCGCCATCTTCTTCTGCCGAGTCCAGAAGCACATAGAGCTGTGACATCACAGCCGTTGGAACCGACGGCAACAGCACACCGGTAGATAACGGCACTGCAAGCTGCCGTGTCCACACACACACACACACACACACTGGTTACTGTTCTGTCAGGGTCAGTCTGAAATACAGTAATTCAACTACTGTCAACTTGAGCTGACTTTTAGCCTTTTGAACCCTGATGTTTCCATTAAATGTCCATTAAAGCAGCACGTGACTGACCTGATGCAGTCTGTACAGAGAAGATAAAACACACTCAGGGATCCAGGGACAGTTTATCATACTTTTATCTATGTCTGTTTTATACCAACTACCGTCATTATTTCCATATTTATCCCCATTAGTTTTGCCAGTCTCTTCCTACAACACCTAAAAATAGGTTTGGTGTTTCTCTTCACATGCCCCACCAGCTATTTAAATGTTTTTAGGTAGGCCTATATGCCTATTATGAACAAAAATCTTAATGCAACACTTTTGTTTTTGCTCCCAGTTTTCACAGGTTTAAATTTGAGATCTATGACTTTTTTACAATTTTTTTTTTTTTTGCGCTCCCATTTTTCATAGATTTGTGTTAAAGATCTGAGACTTGTTTTGTGCAAACAAACGACTTGATTTTCTTAAAATGTTGTGCTCAAATCTGTTGTTAGTGAGCACTTCTCATTTTCCAAGACAATCCCTGCACCTGACAGATGTGGCATACCAGCGTGCTGATTAAACAGCGTCATGACAGTAAAAGTGTTTGATCACTCAACACAATGCAACAGGTGTGGCAAATTTTGAAGGAGTGTGTCATTGGCATGCTGACTGCTGGTGTGTCCACCTGTGATTTGAAGTTTCATTTTACTACCATAACTTTCCAATGTCTGTGAATTTGGCAGTACATCCAACCAGCTGCACAACCACACAAGTCAGTTAAGATGACAAACTGTTGTCAGGTCAAGACCCTGGTGAGGACAATGATTATGCAGATGAGCTTCCCTGAGATGGTTTTTGACAATTTGTGCAATGGTGTATGTGTTTCTTTGTGTCCTGGTGGCTGGTCTCTGAAGATCTTGCATGTGAAGACGCTGGATGTGGAGGTCCTGAGCTGGTCTGTGGGCTTGAGACCAGTTGGATGTACTGCCAAATTCACGGAAGCAACATTAGAGATGGCATATGGTAGTGAAATAAATACTCAGATCACAGGCAACAGCTCTTGTGGACACTCCTGCAGTCAGCTGCCAGTGGCACACTCCCTCATAACTTGTGACATCTGTAGCATTGTGTTGTTTGATCAAACTGCACATTTCAGAGTGGCCTTTTATTGTGACCATCCCAAGGCACACCTGTGCAGTAATCATGCGGTTTAATCAGCACGCCACACCTGTCAGGTGGATGGATTCTCGGACAAGGGAGAAGTGCTCACAGATTAGGTATTGAATGCAAACCTCTGAAAAATGGGAGCAAAATTTGGTCAGTGTACATATATAATAGTGTTTACCAAGTTTGTCTATAAAAGATTAAAATAGCCTGACATGTGCACTGTATTTTGTGCTTGTCAGCATTTCCAAATAAAAACATTTAAGGAGAAGTTATATCACTGGCAGCTCAAACTGACTTTTAGCCTCCCTTAAATTTCCACTTTTGCAGCTTTAAAGTCAACAAAGTGTGCTGTACTTTTTATGACATATGCAATTCACTTTTACACCATTTTATCAAGTATATTTGACTCCTGTCTTAACAGCTGCACAATTCTACTAAATGGAAATTTCAGGCTTACATGTGCAAACTCTTCTGCCCTCATCGTTGATAATTCCATTTGATTAATAGTGCAGCCTATAAAAACATTAAGTGTAAACATCACATAGCTTCAGTTAAGAGCTGGAACAACCTGGAGCAGATTATCATACCGTATATATGATACTGCCAGAGTGGAGATTAATTTCATTTCCACGACTTCTATGATACTCAGGGGAAAATATAATGGCAACACTGGAATTTAATTCAAGTTAACACTACGGTATAAAAAACTTTCCAAGTATATTCAGTGAGCAACATTTTATTTTTCCCTCTATAAACAAGTAGTCAATGCAGCTACAAGGAACTCAACTCCGTGGAAATATTAAGTGACTTGACTCAGTCATAAAGCACAAGTTGAAAGAAGCTTTTACCATGACACAGAAAACACAAACAGCAACATTACTAGAAAACAGGTAACAAATGAAATACAAGCTCTTTTAAATATTAGCTCTATGTCTTTTGTTTTCTTCTTTTTTTAAATCACAACAGGACACCAAAGTCTGAGCGAGTCATGCGGTTACTCTGAATCGCGTCTCTAAATTGCCAGGATATTCAAACATCTAATACGGCCAGAAAAACATATGGTGGTTCAATTACACAAAATATTTTTACAGCACCAGAAAAAGAGGTTGACACAGGATAGGATTTAAAATTAAGGTCTGTACATAATTGCAGGGTGCGCCTTATGCGAGGAGACGAACAGTCTTCCCAGTGACCGTCAAGTAATCCTCGTCAGCCAGGGCTCGGAGTGCCTCGTCGAACAGCTCCTTAGTGATCGCCTGAAAGAAGTCACAGAGAGGAAGTCGTTACAGGAAGTAGTGGTGTTGTTGATAAAAATAGACCATGTATAATTTAAGAAAACAACTACTTGGTGGAAAAGTTAATCGCAATTATTTCCATAGCTCTATAGAGATTTTCATTTAATTCAATTACCAGTGTTGTAAACTGGCTGGCCGATACCTAACGAAGCAAGACGGTATCTTACATCAATTTTTTTGGACTAGAACTCAAAGAACTTTGCTCTGGTTCAACCAAATTCGAAACATAATCTATTATCTTAACTATCTTTTAAATCACAGGATTTGAAAAGTAGATTTGGTAAAATTTCTCTCCACTGAAGGCAAAATAAAATTACTTACAGTTTCAGACTGTCCTCTGAGGTCCTCAAGCAGCTGCTGGTATTTCATGGCGGGCGTCTTTCCTTTAGCCTGGATCAGTTTCTTCAAGGCTTGGGCGACCTCCTCCTTGCGCTTACGGGCGGTGTTACTCATACCTGGAATCACAGATTAATACGATCAAATACACCGTTAGGCTGCAACTAATGATTATTTTTATTATGGATTTATCCGCAGATCATTTTTGGTTGAGCGATTGTTCTATAAAACGACAGAATTTTTTTTTTTTGAAAAAGAAATGTCCATCACAATGTCCCAGAAACCGTAGATCACATCTTCAAATTGCTTCTTTTGGTCGACCAACTGTCCAAAACCCCAAAGATATTCAGTTTTCTATCACATATGATGAAGAAAAGCAACATTTTCTCATTTTTGCTTGGAAAAAAATGACTGAAACGATCATTTATCAAGCAGCAAATCTACAGAGACTGTTTTCAATATTTGATAACAGCAAGAGTTTGGATACAGAGTCCCTTTCAGGATTAACACTCACCAAGTGTCATGTCACATACTTGCGAAAGATGATCAGGGCCACATGTGAAAAGCATATCTGAGCTCTGACTTTAGACTCTAAACTTCACGCGTCCCTGATCCTCTCCTGTACATATCACCTTCATAAATACTTGCTATCATTCTAAATGCTTTAAAACAATGAGTCTGTACCAGGCCCGGTGTCACACACCTGTTGTGAGAATAGAGATGTCGACAAATCCTGTTCTGGGGTCAGTGGCCGACTGTTTGAGGGCCTCTCTGTGCAGCCGCTTGGCCTCCTCCACATCAATGGTCTCCACCTTCTCAGAGAAGCGCACCTTGGCGTGGGCTTCTGCCAAGCGGATCAGGGACTCCAGCTGTCTGGGGTAGGCGGACACCATCCCCCGGCCACTGCCTATCTTCCTCATGTCCACGTAGGCCTAAGAACCGACATGCACACAGTTAGTTGAGGGCTGATGTCCAATTTATATTGCTCTACTGTTATAAAGCAAAGCGATCTACAAATATTCAACATAATGTACATAAATTGTAGAAATTCTGAGAAAACAAACCTCAATGAGAGCCTGGCTGGCCTCCTCGCTCAGCCTTGGACTGATGTATGTTCGTGCATATGCAATGTAGTCCCTCAGCACAGCCATGTCCAGGAACTCTTCCTCAATCTGCTCCTCGCTCTGGTAGTACAGCGACACCAGGTGGTGGGCCAGCCTGCGGTCGTACGCCTCGTCTTGGGGATCCAGCATCAGGAAGATGAGGTCGAATCTGATGGAGCAGATAATGCAGTGTTAAGAACCAGTAACATGACAACTGAGAAACCATAAAGACATAGTGACATTAGGCTGGATGTCCTGTATACTGGAGTCAACTGATGTTCCTCTTTATCAGTGTTGTCTGTGTTTACCACAGTTTGACATACGACAAGTTTTCTCGTGTTTTACCGAGCCTTTTAAGACATAAATGATTCAGTTGTTTCTTCGTTTAAAGCTTCTGTATACGACATTCAGAACACTAATGCAGCAGCAAACCACTATTTTGCTATGTAATGATAATGAACACTCCCTCTGTTTGTTGTTGTTGTAGATGGACCAACTGCGCGTGCTTTTAAGTGCATGTGAGCCCCTGTGTGTGTAACCCACTGGCTAGCTAGTCGACGCCGCGCCACACTGCGCTCATATGGCAACTACAGCTGATACCGCCACCCTGACCCCCGGCGTCAGATCAGTTGTCTCAGAAGTGCAACACCCACCCTCTGGTCCTCCCCTCACGTTAACACTGTTAGCTCTGTCAGCACATTTGAACTTATTAGCATTGTTCATGCTGTTAGCACCACTAGCTGCAAATCGTCGGCTCAGCAGCCTCCATGTTGAGAGCCGTGTGCAGACAATCCCGGCTCAGACTGAATCATAACTATGCTCTGAATGTCACATAAAGACAAAGGATGCAGTCAGCTCAGTTACAATAGGAACAATGATTATAATGCAGGAAGTGGAACAACAGGCTACAAAGCATCTAGATTATGACACACGGACACTATAACCTGCCCAAATTTGCTGATTCATATTGTATGATCCTGTGAAATAATACTGAAGTTGGTAATGGCATACTTAATTGTTCATTTAGTAGGCAGAATACAAGTATGTGTCTCCAAACACAGCCATACT